AATGTCAATGCATTCAACTCGAGTCAAAATTCATTACGTTCAGTGTAAACTATCAGTTTTGAATCTTTGCTTTGGTTTGGCTCTGTGAACGGGTCAAAACATTTAATTTGATGACATTTTTATCAATATGGAATTGATGATGCCTATTAGTTTCCAAAAAAGGAAGCATGTGTAATGCATTGAGAGAAGATTTTTTAGTGAAGTAAATACAAAAACGTTTCGTATAAGGTAACAATTTCCACACAGTTTGGAAAATCACATAGGTACAAAGAACTTTCCGCAATCTATGTTAAACCTTTCTTTATATTTTTTCCCTGGGATTATTACAGAGTCCATTTAAATTTGTATACTATAATAGTTTAGTATGGTAAACAAAATTTTTAGGGATCAATAGTTGACCTGTGTCAACATGGCCATCTTAATACAGTAATTAAACATACTTTTTCACATTCTTCCAAAAAGTAGTTGCATTCAAAATCTAATTTTGTAGATCTGAATTCTAAAATCCAATTTCAAATCTCCTGATCCGAATCTGGAAGTAATGTCAGTTTATGTCATCAAAGTTACAGAGAATCACTGAAACATTCATTGAAATAAATTTGCTGATGGGAGGGTCATTGACCTGTGTCTGTCTTTTCTTGATAGCCTGGGACATCATTGGAGGAAGAAGTCTATGCTGTGTTACATGGAAGTAAATTTGCTGAACGATCAAATCATGAACTTAGTGTGGCTGAAGAGGAGGCCTTGAAGGCTATGAGTGTGGAAGAGGTAAGAGTAGTGTGTTTACAGTATTCTTGGTTTTCATATACTGTAAAATACTTTATTTCTGCTTGGAATTTATTTTTGCTGAAGTGATGATTTAGTGAAAATAGAATCCAGCAAATATCCTTTTTTTTCTATATTTTACATTCAACTCATCAAAAATCAGTGAAAATAAATTCCACCCAAAAAGCCTTTTTCAGTGAAAAAATTTATTCTAGCGAAAATAAAGTATTTTACAGTAACTTTGAATGTTTTAATGGCTTTTCGGAAGGTTTTAACACTGAATAATATACATGTATTTGTATTGTAGGCAAGAGAAAGACGCAAGGAATTGCAGAAGATGAGAGCATTACAGTCGTATTATGAAGCTAAATGCAGAAGACAGAAAAAAATTAAAAGTAAAAAGTAAATATTGTTATTGTACATCTTGAACACTAAACCAACTTTCTATTGTCAAGCTCTTCTACTTCTTGCCCAACTCTTATTACTATTTTTCCCCTTTGCTCTGGATGAAGCATAAAGCACCAACAAATCATCTCCAGCCATAACATTTGCGCTCAAGCTATTATATTTCATTCCAGGTCTTCCCCGCCGCCTTCATTTACTATTTTATGGTCCTTCTCCGGGTGCCCAGAGGCCTGCCTCTTTCTTTTCCGAGGTGGTGCCCATTTCAGTGCAGCATGAGGGTGTCTGGTTCTTCCCATTCTTAGACATGCCCCAGCCATCTCCAGTGTCTATTGTTGCCTTCCATTTAATGCTGATGTTCGTGCCAAACCAACTCGCTTTCATCCTAACTCCTATTCACTGTGCCTCCTGAGCATCAAAACCTAATCACTTGATGTGCAGAGATTTGTCATGGTTCTTCGTTGACTCCATACGAAAATCGTACATGATCTTGAAATATATTTGACTATCGACAAGTTAAAGAAAATTTACATTTTGTAAACAAAGTAAGTGTAGGAAATCAGGGCCCACACATGTTTATGGTCAGAGCGCCCTCTATTCTACCATTATGAAATGCATGTGCCCTCACTTGAACTTTAAAATGTTTTTTCCCTAATAATTGCAAGGTATCACCGGATTCAAAGAAAAGCGCATGACCGCTCAGAAAAGAAACAGCTTGAGGAGTTGGAGAGAGTGGACCCAACTGCATATGCACA